TCTGCTAACTGCTTTACGAACTTGCACAAATTCTTTATGAAAACAGTGCCTCTAAAATCCCACCAGAAAAGTAGGCGTTTCGCAAAGAGTCTAAAGTCACAGCTAATTGGCAAGCACGCGATAAAGGATGAAGTTCCTGCCGCTATTCCATAGTGGTGCTTGCTGTACATTTGAGTTGAAGCCTCTGCAGATGCTACCTGAAATTAGCGAAAAACACCAAGGTACAAGAGATCTTTTCAATGAAACAGTAATGACGCTTTTTTGGGGCATCTTGTACGGTGAAGAAAAAAGACAGAACGTCAAACATATAAGCTGCTGAAAAGGATAAAAGCGGTCAAAAGCATAGAAAGATTTTTTGAAAAAGTTAGTCCCATGGCTCACGACTATTTCTCCCATGACTCATCTTTGTGACATGATGAACATGAATAACCTACAAAATAACTTTGGTTGCTCAAAGGAAACAAGATTGCGTAAGAGTTAAACTTAAGCAGCAGCTGACTTCGGAACTTTTTTTTACAGATTTTCCTTTGATCACGAATACCTTTCTTACTCCTACACTGTCAAGGATGACGTTCCCAACTACTCCAACATGTACATTGATTTACCTCTGAACTCATCATCATCAGCTATTTGTGCTGCATGTTATTTTTATGTGAGGTTTGATTATAATACTGCAAACGCTCGCTTGAGTGGCTCATTCAGATCATCCTCTACGTATGGAAGATGAGTCATTTATTCAAAGTCGACGCTGCCGAAAACGGAAAACGAATCAAGGAGTACAGGTATCAAGCCCTCTTCAGCTCGCAGTGAGATAATGATGCTGCTTCAGATACGCACTGCAATTTTGTGCAATTTCTGTGTTTTACTTGTGTGGTTGGGTCACATTTCGTATATTTCCTGTACTAATTGGCGCTAGAGGAGTGGAATAATTTATAGTTATCTCAGCATGCGTCACACTGAACTCATCAGCTAATGCCATTGTTTATATCAGTTCAAATCTAGAGGTATACATAAAACTGGCGAAACTTCACCAATGTTCTTTTCTGTTAAGCCTTTTATCAAGGTCTATCAATCGGTTCATTTGCCTGAATTTGGGGCAAAATTGAGGTCGGTGCTAAAGTGACCGACCCTAATTTGCTGTCGGTGCTATTTTTCACACCCATGCTTAAACCACTTAGAGCAATGATAGACGAAAGATCTAAACAGTGCTCGATGCAGAATTTCCTCCTTCTAAGAGTGTTGTTTTTATTTAGATTTCAGTTGTCATAATCTCCGACTCATGATTTTATACCCAGCGCGAGTTTGATTATTTTTTAAAA